CCCAAAAAGTCCTTAAAAAGTTTGAAAACAGTGAGCCCAACACCAGAAAGTTTTCATGGGTAGAGAGGAATGTCTGTGCTACATTATCTGCGTACAGTCAGTGGTGAAAAGCCAAGCAAGGCAACAAGGACCTCTTTATGGCATCATGCTCTTTGGTGTAACACCTTTTCATTGTGGTGCTTCATGTAGGATAGGACATAAAAAGCAGTCATTTAATTTGGTTGGGTTCTACTGTTAAACTTTTATATTAAAATGGGTATGTGGAATAAGCTTCTAAAACTCATTAAATTACTGAATTTCTTCCAGCTTGACTTTCAGGTTGTTTCGAACGATTTATTAAGTCATTTGAAAATCACCCTGCTTGTGCAAAAATTAAGGAACACCTAACTAAACATATATGTTATTGAAAGATCACAGGTACCAGGTGGGTTGGTTGATGCAAAAATCAGACCATTAAGAGAAGTCAGGTGTTCCACATAAGGCTGAAAAGTTTAGACTTAATGTTTGAATTACGAAGGCGTGAAGATTAGCAGAAACTATTCACTCAACATAGTTTTGCTTTTTAAAATTTTTTTTAATTTATCTTTTTTAGTTTTAGGTGGACACAATATCTTTACTTTTTAATTTTTATGTGGTGCTGAGGATCAAACCCAGTGCCCACATCCCCACCCACCTTTTTCTTTAAAGACAACTTGCACAAGTATTTATTTATATCATAGATTGACAAATTGAATTCCTGAGTCAGTCTTTTTTGGAGGAGATTCAGTTTAATCCAGTGATTGTTTTTGAATTTTTCATATACCACAGAATGAATGTCCACTTTTTTTTTTTTTAAACACATTTAGGTGACTCTCGTCTCTGCTGCTCCTGAGAAAGTGATTTGTGAAATGAAAGTAGAAGAGCAGCATGCTAATAAAATGGGCACACTCCATGGTGGTTTGACAGCCACCTTAATAGACAGCATATCAACTGTGGCTTTGCTGTGCTCAGAAAGGGGTCTGCCTGGAGTCAGCGTTGACATGAACATAACGTACGTATACAAACTACCCCAGAGGCCTTTTGCTTTGATAAATCACTTCAAACCATTAAGACACTGTTTGTAATACTAATGAAGTATGAAATTTAGTTAAACGCAACTAGAGATTTTCGCTAAAAGATTATGTGGCCTTAAAAACTAGAACTAAAACACAATTAATTTCAAGTATAGTTACCTTGATGTTTTGAGATTGGTTCCAGGACTCTGCTCAAATCCCTCATATGAAAAGTCATTTTTATTTGGACACAGTGGCACACGACTATAATCCCAGCTACTCAGAGGCTAAGGCAGGAGGGATGGCACGTTTGAGACCAACCATGGCAACTTAGCAAGACACTGTCTCAAAAACTAAAAAGGGCTGGGAGAGGTAGCTCAGTGGTAAAGCTCCCCTGGGTTCAATCCCTCATATTAGAAAAAATAAAATGACATCTTTATGTATAATCTATACGTTTCCATGCATTCCAAATCATCTCTAGATCACTTATAAAACCTAAATAAATGCAAATGGCATGTAAATAGTTGTTGTGCTGTATTGTTTGGGAAATAAGATATGTGTTCAGTACAGACACAACTTTTTCTTCAAACACCTTCAATCCACAGGTGGTTAAGTCTGAGGGTGGGGAAGCTACAGACACAGAGGGCCAGCTGTACAGTCAATAGTCAAAGGTAAATGACCCCAAACATCCAAACAGCACACAGCTTCTAATATTCTCCTAGTGGGGAAAAAAGTCACACACTCAACGGTTTGTTTCATACAGTCCTTAAAGTACTACTGGTATTGCTGCAAACATTTTTATATGTATTGAGTACATACATACAGAAAAATCTGAATAAAATTAAAAGCAAAGTTGAACGTTCCACCTGTGTATGTGAGCTTGTGAACTATAGTGTCAGCAGCAATCCTGGATCTCATGACCTGAAACCTGCACAGCAGAACCAGAGAAGCAGGCCCTAGATGTCTGTCACTCCATGTTGTGAAAATGCCTTCAGGGACCCAACTACCAAATGTGAAACATTCAGTTTTCCAACATGAACTAGTAATGTCAGTCCTGTTCA